GCTCTGAGTTTTCTCCTGTAATGCCTGATTAGGTTAGAGAGCACCTGACAAGAGAGCAGAGACCATTCCTTCATCCAGAATCTCTCCAGACCCTTCAGATTCCCAGCTTCTCCTCTTCAGTTCACCACACTCATCTTCTATAGGGTAAGCTGTTTATCTTGCCCTTTTCTATCCACTTGGCTCTTTAGCACACAAAAGCTCCATTAACCTTGTTAGCATGCAAGTCATTAAGTTTTGCTTGTAAAGAATGGAGCTCACTTTCCTGTACTGGGGAGAGAGTCTGAATTTATCAATTTTTAATTGTTATTAACAATAATTCTGTTTCTATGTGGTCTCTATCCTTTTTTTTATTTTCTTACTTTGTTTAATGGCAAATATTTACATTTAAATAGCTCCCATTTAGAAACAAAGTCTGACATCTCTGAATTAAATATATTGGTGGCTAAAGTTTAGTACTTTGTATGAAAATGTTGTCTTCTAAGAGAGAGTTATTCAATTTCCAGTAGTTATGAAGACTGTTTGAATTATGAACAGCCTGTAAGGACATATCAATAAGCAGATGATCTGTAAAGGGAGCATAATGATGGGAGATGTTTTGAACATGTTGAAGTAGATTGGATGAAATTAGGAATGGCACAAGCCAGAAACATCAACCTGAAGCTCTCACCTGCACACCTGCTGAAGCTAAGCAGGGATGAGCTGGTCAGTACCTGGATGGGACACCTGCTGGGAAGACCAGGCTGCTGCTGGAAGAGGTGTTAGTGAGGCCAGCAGGAGGCGCGGTTTATCCTGTTGTCTGCTTGTAGAAAGGTTTCATGTAAATACCAGTCTTTCTCAGAAAGAGTGGGAAAATCCCCCAACGATCCCAGTTAGTTAGTTTCACATTACAAGTCATATAGTACTTTCTTTATTTCTCACAACTTGTGGGGAACTGCCTGGCAGGCTTTTAAGTGTAACATAATAGTCTGTGAAAAAAGACGGTTTAAGGTCAAACACACTCATATTGTGAATATCCTCATGAATCAGTCTGTGCCTTTCATACGAAGCTATGATTGCTTGGTTCAGTCATTTCAGTTAAATCACCTTGTTAACAAGCGGTTGAACGTTTATACTAGACCTCTGTTTAGTCAAGTTTTGAGTGTATGAAAAAAAATAGAGGGGGAAATTTAAGAAAAGACTTTTGTCAAGGAACCCCCTCGTTTAAAAAAAATCTTGAAAAGAAAATGCTATGGATAAAAGAGAATTTGGTTTATTCCGTATTAGCAGGAGGACTTCTTGAGCCTATTCTCTACAAATTCTGTTTAAGATTCTAACTGAACTTAATCAGATGCAGTGTGGTACTTTTTTTTACTTTTACTGTTCATTGTATTGCTCTATGCTATTTTATCTTTAATTTAATGGTGATTAGAGCTGCTCCATTCCAGCGGCTCAGTACTGTAATCACAAGATGTTTTCCTGTAATAATGCAGAGGCCCACTCATTATACAGTATATGAGTATGTGCATACACGCTGAATGCGGACCCTCGCGTATGAGTAAAAACTGAAGTATATTTTGGCTTTTAATGCAAGCAAACCATTTGTATTGGTGCAGAATGAGAAACACACATAGCACATTTCACACATCACATGCTAGTTTCACTTTCACTTTAAATAAAGTCCTGTACGCTTGACGTTTAAAATAAATGTTGTTTATAGTAAATATTGTTTATAGTAAATGCCCCTATATTTTTACTTTGTTTTATATTTATGATTTAGATTTAATCCAAATGCATGTGCTAAAGAAGCGAACAGCAATCAAGATCATGCAACAGAGGTTTTGCATCGTTTTATGTGCTTGCTTTTGACATATCTGACCGAACAGCAAACTTGCCAGTGATGTCTGTAAGGACAGGTATTCGTTCGACAAGCTTGCGCTTCTGTGCCACTGCACACTCAATCCACTCAGTGTGCTTTGTGTATCAGCTCGCGCACATCAGCTATACAAGAATGAATATTGAATGTTTAACATTATATTAATTACAATCATATACTTAACAGTCATCCTTAATTTCTAATAATTCCATTCCGCTCTCTGTTTTCTGGACTCAGCACTTTTCATATGCTGTGTGGTATCGTCTAACAGGTATCTTAAAGTCACTAGATTATGTTTAGTCAGTGAAGGAATAAGGCCTATTGAATTGCTTAACTTAAGCTCAGGGTGTTTTTTGGTATTTTCGCCTAAATTTGACATACTCAAATTCAAATGTTTACCCTACACACATACAATGGAGGAAATGAAAAAAATGGTTTCATTGTAAAGCTAGAAATACGAGATAACGTGCTTGTTAATGTTAATTAATGAACATATTAAACATTACTAAATGATTAACAAATGCTGAAATGCTTACAAATGTCATTAAACTTTCAATTCATATGATCATGGATTTTTTTTTTTAAATCTTCAAATGATTTTGACAGAAATTATACACAATTTACAAGCTTAATTGTTAATGTACTTTTGAATGCTTACAACTGTCATTAAACTTCAGTTCACATATTAGCTAATGCTCATTTTTTAATTTACAAATGTTGTGAAAATATAGCTTATAAGCACTTATGTTAATATATTAATTAACTCAAAATCAGTCTGTAAAGGTCACATATTTAGTCTTTGTTTGTTGTGTTGTACTATTTGCACATCTTAAATCATGTATTAATTATTTGTTAATGTTTATGCAGTAAACATGCCGTATCTAAAGTGGAGACTTTTCATCAATTGTAAATGTTTATAAACATTTTTAAAAAAAAATCTTTATTGGCACTGGAGTTTTAGCTACTTTAACAATGTTTGTGTGAAGGGTGGTTAGTTAAGTTTAGCTAAATGCTTGGTAAAGACATGTCACATATTGTAATTTGGGTGCAAAACATGTTTTTATCACCTTAAGACTTATATCAGTACAGTATTATGTATAATTGAACAGAATATTCCTTGAGTCATACATCAACAGGAGGGGAAAAACACATTTTCAAGAAAATACATCATGTATCAACATCATGAGTTTTACCATTTTCGAATCCATTCAGGTCTAGCGGTAGCACTTTTAGCTTAGCTTAGCATAGATCATTGAATCTGATTAGACCCTTAGCATCTCGCTCAAAAATGACCATAGAGTATAGAGTTTCTATATTTTTCCTATTTAAAACTTGACTCTTCTGTAGTTACATTGTGTACTAAAACCGACGGAAAATTAAAAGTTGCTATTTTCTAGGTGCTGCATAATATCATTGCGCCTGCTGCACCCATGGAAGATGCACGGAGCTTTTACGGGTTTAGAATGACATGGGGGTAAGAGATTAATGACAACATTTTAATTTTGGGGTGGAGTATCCCTTTAATGTCTACAGGTCACACTTCCTGATGTTGGCTTGACCAATGCAAAGGTGTAATTTTGAATGGGAAAAAAAAGTTTCATTGCAAAATCAAAGTTGTGTCCACTTAATTATCCCATTAACTGCAGCCGGGATATCTCCAAATACATGTGGGAACTCAAAAACATGGCATGGCTTCATCCCACTGACAGACAAACACATGAAACACATGCATGATTCCCCCAAACTAGTTTAGCACAAACTCTGCCACCAGGTGATTCTAAAGATTTCACTGCTCATGTCAATGTCAGTGCTGAATTCTTACAAATGCTACAGCAAATACTAACCCTTAACCCTACCGTAACCTCTCATCCCCTCTAATTTGAAGCTTTGAGTCCCCACTGAGATATAAGTGGGAATCCCCGCGAGCTCCTCGGCACACTACAGCTGTTTTTCCGGTTTCACCTTGACAATGTGTCAACACCAAGTAAAACCAAAACATGAATTTATAATGAATTAAAGAAAAACAACTGTAAGGACTTTACCTCCTCTTTTTAAAACCACCACACACCACGCTTAAGTTAACATATTACAATATCTGAGTTCAATACAGCAGTTTATATAACGTAGAGGGAAAATTGTAAGAACAACAGAGTAGACCTTTGGTTTCAAGTAAAGGTCAACAGAACGTCTCGGTTACGTATGGTAACCCTCGTTCCTCGTTCAAACAGACATAGCCATTGTTTCAATGGTTGCTTTCAATGGTATATTTGAACTTGTTTGCCAAATGGACATTGGAAGAGTGTTATTTTCTGACTGGTGTTTTAGAAACAGCATATTTATATTTATGCTGCATTTGATGTGAAACAGTCTTGTGGTTGTTGATCATTCTTGTATCTATGAAGCTGCATTGGCATCTCAGACTTTTCTGTCTTGATTTGATAATTAACTGTTTTTAAGTCTGCTGCGCTGTTAAATTTGTCATCTGTAATGATTTTTACTGGTTTGGGAAATATTTTCTTGTAATCAGGTCTGTAGATGGTGATATTTGTCATGAGCAATGTTTGACAGCTATTAGGCTGCAATATTATTACACTATGGAGGACAAGCATTACAGCAAATTCAAAAATATAACAAATGTCTGGCTATATTGTGGAAATGAGACCCAAACACACACTCAAATGACTGCACAAGTTTGTAAGCATTTTTATGAAAACCAAATTTCACTTATAATTAGCAGCAGACTGTTTATGAACATATTTAAGTTTAAAGCATTAGCTGCTTTTCTTCTCATAAATCCTCTACAAAAGATTTGTTTAAAATTAATTTTTTACATGCACTAACATATTAAACAAGTTAGAAGTAAATTGTCTAAGATGCATCTAAGTATACTGAGACTTTGTATTTAGAGTGACAAAGATATTTTTATTATTATTATTATTATTATTTACGAACATAATATTAATAATGACAATAAATCTGAACAGTTACATTGAAATAGAAGCAACAGCAGTCATGTGATCATATATTCAAAAAAGGGGAGTTACCCTAACACTCTGGTCTTTCAGTTCTTTCATTTGTCATTCATCCAGATAGACAAAGAAAGAGAAAGAGAGCGGTGTCACTGCAAATAAAAGAGTTGGCTGAGCGTTTAAAACAGAAAAAGAGGATGTATACAGAAGTGGAACCAGTAATTACAGGTCAGTAAAAGACCTTTATAATTAATCTGATATTCTAACAACAAAAATATAATATAGACTGTAGCTACTGCATTGCTAAAAATGACACACAAAAAAAGATGGAAAATAATGGGAGCAACATGGCACTCAACCATTTGAGAAATTGATAAGTTAGTTATAAAGGGATGCTGAGTTTTTAAAGCACATTTACAATCAACTCAAGTTGAACTGCTATACAGCTCCAGCAAATCTTAGAAGTGAAACCACAGAGAATATGAAAGATCAAACAGATCATTGAGAGACTTAAATAAAGTAAAATACACAGTTAGAATCATAATATCATAATACTAGGTTGTTCTAGAAGATTGTTTACGTGTCTGGGTCAAAAGAGACTCTAAATATGATTCAGGTCTGTGCTTCAGTTGATGTATATGGGACTTTTCACCAGTTTTATCATCTTGTCAGGTGAAAATCACACAACTGATCACAAAAAAACCTCTTACAGTAATTTAATTTGAATTTAAACCTATATACAATGTTTTGTTAAAGACAATGTTGTGTTATTATTGTGAAAACATTTGTTCTCTCTAACTTCAGGAGATCTGAGGATTGTTATGTTAGGAATGACTGGAGCTGGAAAGAGTGCAACTGGAAACACCATCCTGGGCAAAGATGTGTTTGAAGTGGATTTCAATCCAGAGTCAGTTACTAAACACTCTGAGAAAAAAGAGACAAAAGAAGGTAGCAGGAACATATTGATAATCGACACTCCAGGCCTCCAGGATTCAAAAAGAAAGGAAAAAAAAGTGCACGCTGAAGTAAAGAAGTGTTTGGACATGTCCTCTCCTGGTCCTCATGTGTTCCTGCTGGTCATCAGACTGGATGAAAAATACACAAAGGAAAAGATGAGCACAGTGAAATGGCTTCAGGAGAACTTTGGAGAAGAAATTGCTCGCTTCACCATCATCCTCTTCACTCATGCTGATTCACTGAGGAACAGACCACTGAAAGATCATATACATGACAGGCCAGATCTACGACAGCTAATAATCAGCTGTGGTGGCAGATATCATGCAGTCAATAATGAGGATATAAAGAATCAAGCTCAAGTTAATGAGCTGCTGTTGAAGATGGATAAAATGGTGCTTAAAAATGAAGGGAAGCACTACACTAATGTGATGTACCATAAAGCCCAGGCATGGCTTAACTGGTGGAAAGTAGCAGTAGTTGTAATACTAGTAGCAGTGCTATTAGCAGTAGTAACAAGAGTAAGATAAGTAGGAGCAATTAAAGGAGTAGCTGCACTATTAACAATAATAGCAGTACTAGTATCAGTGCTATTACAAAAGTAGTATGTTTATGATGTTTATTGTCAAAAAAGAGACCAAAATGTCAATATGCTCCTGCTATGCGTAGATTATTGATCAAGACATGGTACACACACACACACACACACACAATAATGAAAAAATAAATATAAAATAAAAATAAAGTTGAATCAAATCAAAGTTAAATTATTTGTGTCATCATTATCAGCAGGTTCACTTGTTCTTCTTTTTATAAAACTACTCCTAACCTGACATTAATAAATAAAAAGAACAAGAAAAAGATAAAGTCAGTGAAACATTTTACATACTTCTACTGGATCAAAAAGATCACACAAATAGCTTGCTATACTGAGAGAGTGATTATTTTTTAACATATGTGTTCATGTGTTTTAATTTCTTTTGCTTTTAATTTTTTTTCCCAGCTTTTTTGATTTTTCTCAATTTAACTAAATTGTTTTCATTTGATTGAATAATAAACTGAATTAAATTTATTCACAAAACTTTGTGTAAAGTCATGTCAAAACTTTCACTTGTAACAGATCATTATGGCAAAGTTCAACACAAACACACACACACACACACACACACACACACACACACACACACGCTGTGTTTTTCATGTTTTATGGGGACATTCCATAGGCGTAATGGTTTTTATACTGTACAAACTGTATTTTCTATTGCCCTACACCAACCCTACACCTAAACCTAACCCTGACAGAAAACTGATTCTTAGATTTAAAAAAAAAAAAAAATTTTATTTTTTTTTTTATTTATAAGCTTAAGCTTGTTCAGAATTTACTGGTATTACTATCCTTGTGGGGACATTTATTAGATATCCATAACATAATAAATATCTGGGCCCATATTCATGAAAAATCTTAGGGTCCCACTTTATATTGTGTCCCTGATACCGGTGTACTTACATAGTAACTAGATGTGTACATAGCATAGTGTAAGTACACATTGGTGCATAGTATCTACAGCTCTAATGTTTGTGTAACTACACATATGAAACCTAACCCTGACAGAAAACTGATTCTTAGATTTTAAAAAAAAAATTTTTTTTTTTTTTTTTTAGTTTTATAAGTTTAAGCTTGTTCAAATTTT